TAGGAAAAGTGTGTTTGAACTAGATTTCTAGTATGAATGACCTAGGTATGGATGTTACATTTCTCGCTCATTCTGTAACCGTGCATGCATACATGTGCACACGAGCTGTACTTTAAATTCATTTGAAATTTTATTTTCGTATTTGGAAATCTGATGGTTTGATCTCCTTCATTTCCTTGGGTACATGCATTATTTGCAAAACACGAAATTCTGAGGAATAATTTTTACTTTCTTCGATGTTTTTCTTTTCATAAAGAACAGTGAGTGACTGACTGATTGGGGCGGGGCAGAAGGGAGGGCGTTGAAGGGGAGGGGAGGGAGGTGGGGTCCTCTTTCCCACAAATACCATAACAGAATGCTAAACGTGTCCGTATTACAGAAATAAAGGAGAATAGTTTTTGTGGGCCAATTTTAATTTTACATAGAGTACAGATGTAGTTTCAAACATTATAATAAAGCTTACCAGTAGATTTGAAACAGTAACTCTTCTATGTACTGGTAATTTGAACAAATGTTGCTGATTATTTTATTAATTTTCTATCTTTCCAGTGGAGACATGAAGTTTTTCTCACATCTCACTAAAGTAGTATCCGCAGAAGGTAAAAATATTGATGGATGTTGAATTTCTCCTTACGAAATTGCAATAATCAACAGCCCCAGGGGGGGACCATATAAAAGTGTCAGGGGGGGGGGGGGGGGTGCTTGTCGGAATTTGAAAATAGCCCCAAAAAGGTACCAGAATCTTGCTTTGTGGATGTGGCCCAAATTCATTTTCACCCCTATGACGTACCAATAAATCAACAAATATACACATAGTTCCTATCCTATTTTTTTGGACTGATGACTTTCAGTTTATTATCTCAGTAATGCTGTGTTGCTTGGGAGCGGTCAGCATAAAGACCGGCATAAAATTATATTCCCTATTCAGGGTAGAGAAGAGAGGCCAAAAACCTGTCCAGCAGCACATCCCCATATAAGCCACATAAGGGAGTACACCCCCTCCCCCGGCACTTTTCTTAGCCAGTCAACAGCAATAATTTTATTGACCCACTTTAACCCTCTTAATTAATATTATCTAATCATTAGATGGAACATTTTTTGATAGTTTTCTGTTTTAATAGGTAAGCAAAATGCCGTTATCATGGGTCGAAAGACTTGGGAATCCATACCAGAAAAGTACAGACCCCTTCCACACAGACTCAATATTTTATTGAGTAGAAACTTGAGGTACAGTTCAGAGCTTTTTCAATTAACCAAATAAGCAACAATGTACTAACTTTTATAATTTGGTACAATGACATAACAGCAGTTATTACAGACAGTCAGCGGTTTGACATGCAAACGAGGCAAAAGGGTCAATCTGGTATTGTTAGCCGTTTGACATGCAAATGAGGCGAAAGGGTCAATCTGGCATTGTATTGGCCCATTAGCCTCATTTGTAGGCTCGATTACCAGCCGCTTTTTGGGAATATGAGCCAGAATGAAGACCGGACTCGAGAGAGTGGCGGAAATCGAGCCTAACTTGTTTGCATACTTTTTAAAAACAAAATAATATTTGACTGCGGACTGCGGGCTCAACTGCAATAACTGCTATTTATGTTGATTGGAAAGTAAATTTACGGTGCAGCATGGAAGGCCATTGGAAATTCCGAGAGGAATGGGGGATCTCAAAAGCCAAAATTTAGAAAGGATAGTATGAAGCTAAACTGGAATTTCCAGAGGGGTGGGGGCCCATACCAAAAATCCTTCCATGGTGGGGGTATGAATATTTTCTGGAACTACACATTTTAAATAATATTCAATACTCTCAAGATTCATACAAGCCCTGTACATAAGTAAATAATAAATTGTCAAGGTAATGGTTTGTTTTGTTTACTTGTAGTGTGGCACCTGAAGGGGCCCATCTCTGCTCCAGCCTCCAAGCTGCCTTTGACCTGCTGTCTGCTGCACCATTCACAGACACTGTGGAAAACATCTATGTGATCGGTGGAGCAGCAGTCTACAAGGTACATACATGTATTCCTATCTGTTTTAAGTTTAATAACTTATTTTATCACACAAAACAGGAAAAAAATATAAAGAAATTTACAGAATAGGAGGTGGTGGGGAAACCATAAGAGAAACCATAGACCTTATTCATAAATGGCAGTGGATTCATTGTTCTTTTATATTCATGCTAATCAGCCTCCCTAGCCTCATTTTAGTGTAAAAATTCTTTTGAATTTTGCAGTCATACTAACGAGGCTAGGGGGGCTGATTAGCATGAATATAAAATAATAATTAATCGGCCGCCATTTATGAATAAGGTCTATAAGGCTTTTTAATATTATGTTAGCTTCATTGCTGCATACATTATTGCTATTTCTGAAAAAATTGAAGTCAGTGTAACTGACAGTTATTATTACACACACAAAAATTATTATACAACTAAGACAGTTGAGAGGGCCAATAACTAAAATCAGCCAATCAGAATGCTTTATTGCCGGTCAGATATTTTCTAAGTATCGGACTGGGTAAAGTTTCTTACATTGTTATGGTTTAATTTCCACAGCTATTTTTAAGTACAAAGTCCTTTTATAAATATCTTATTAACCAAGCTTGCTCGGGACCGTACTGGGAGAATATTGGCCCTCGGTCTTTTCTGTACGGACCTCGCTGCACTGGATCCATACTATCAAGACCTACATGTAGGGCCAATATTGTCCCAGTACGGCCCTCTGGCTTGGTTAATAAGATGTCTATTAAATTTATAAATTGACAATGACAGTGAATGTGGTGATCATTTACAAATGAACATTGTTGCAACCCCCTTCATTCTTTAGGAAGCCTTGCAGCATCCTGGTGCACACCGCCTGTACATTACACATGTGCTCAAAGATTTTGAGTGTGATGTGCATTTTCCAGACTACGACAAAACTGTTTTTAAGGAAATAAGGTCAGGAGAATAACAAGTCAATGTTTTGCTTTCAACAGTGTTGCTGTTGTAGTTTAATAGCAAACTGATCACAAGGTCAGCATTCCTCATTCCTTATGTTCAGTTTGCAATAAAATTACAGTCAAAGCTCTCTGAGCAGACACTCTCGTAAGCGGACAGCTCTACTTACAGCTGCCTCAACAAAACCCCACTTCTACCCTAGCTCATACAAACTCTGTATTTACACATTCCCGTAAGTGGCCAGCTCCAGTTACGAACACTTTTTCTGCTTCCCAAGGGTGTCTGCTTATTGGAACTTCGACTGTATTATAAATTTGCATTCTTGGTTTGAATAAATTTTGCTGGAAAAATGTTCGACATATCTTTTTGGTCATGTCCTGCAGTAGGCACTGGCATAATAAGCAATTTTTGAGGTGATCAAAGCATAATTTGAGCATAATCCAATCCATAAAATTGGTAAGTCATCTCAGACAGGCTTAATTCCCTACAGCTCCTAAATGTATGGGAATTGTGAGACTAGTAGTAGTACCAATGAAAATAATTATTGTTTCTTCACATTACATACAGAGGTATTGCTTACAAAATAATCGAAAATTTATCATTTTATTTTAGCAAATCACTGTTTGAAGAGTAAAAGAAAGATTCATTTTCGGAAATCAGGGTAAATACTGAGCAGAATGCCAGAGGGTCACAGAGTAATAGGCTGCGTTTCTTTTAGTAATAACATGATTACAATAAGCATGCCTGCAGGCAGAGAAGACCAATTTATAAGGAGAATTTATCCAAGCCTAGTTGACACCAAGTTAATTTTTTTCTTTTTAGTGACCCAGAAGTGCCGAGTGGTGTACAGGAAGAAGACGGGATCCAGTACAAGTTTCAAGTATACCAGCGAGATATCTAATATCTTATTATTAACAAAACTGTCGACACAATGGCTGCATTATTAAACATGATGTAAACTGATTATAGATTAATATTATAATAACATAAAACACAATAAAATGTACTGGAATAAAGCATTGGAAAGCAGTCAGTAAAGCCTTCTAAGGCTTAAAAGCACAAATAAATTTCTTAAAAACAAAGATTTTTCAGTGATTCTTTTGATTTGCCTTTCTTTAACCACTGTTCCTAGGGTCTCTCTTACATCTACCTTCCTACTCCAAGTGGTGGGAAGAAGAGAGAGAACCTGGGGACGAGGTTGGCCTTTCATATGTCTGTGGAAGACACAGTGACCTAATGGTTAGCACGTTGGACTCTTTACTCTCACAGTGCCTCCACCCAGGAGTATAAATGGGTACCAGCAAACTAGACTACGAGCAGTCCCTCATTTTAATCAGGGATCGAGTGGGCGAGCGCGGGCGAAGCGCGTGGAAATCACCTCCCGCGGGAGGTGATTTCTGCGCGCTCACCCACTCGATCCCTGAGAAAAATGAGGGACTGCTCGTAGTCTACCAGCAAACTGTCAGTGCAACCTAACAAAATGTTGGGTGGTAACCTGTGATGGACTGGCATCCCATCCAGGGGAATAGCGACACTCTCAGTCGCTATGATGAGATCTTGTACTCCTCCAGTCCATAAGAGTGGAACTCTACCTTTCTTTACCAGTTGCAACTGAAACATGGTCCACCTTAGTTGTTACTTTTTTATGTTAGTTTATTTTTTCAGCTTTGCTACCAATATAAATTAAAGTTACACACAGACATGTTTTATTACAACTAAAAACAAAATGCCTTCCTCTCCAATCCAATAAGCCTTCCTTAGACGAATATAACTAAAATTACATAAATATTATACAATCATGTAATGGTTGCTTTTTCAAAAATGTGTACCGTTTGTACATCTGTAACTGCCCTTTTGATATCTATAAGCGCTCAATCCCACATGGTCCATATTGCACTAAATCAAGGTTATAGTTTTTGTTATTTCTTAGCTGTTTGTAGTGTAGAAGAATAGGGTTTCAAAAATAGTATTGGGGCAGTTGGCATACTGGTAAACTAATAACTGATTACTATGGAAAGAAATGATGGTATATTTTAAGCTTGGTAGAAATATGAGAGAGATATTATTCTGTCAGTGACACAAGAGTCGAACCTACAATGACCTTCCGCACACCGGTCGGATGCTCTACCACTGAGCTACAGGAGACTCGTGGGAGCTAAGGCCATATAACTGATTACTATGTTTTGTTCACAAAACAGTTGTATGTTCTTTGACAAATTTAATTACATTATTTATTTACCCTTCTGGAAAGAATACTAGTTGAAGCATTAAAAAAAAAAAGAACTCTTACGCAAAAGACTATTTGACCCAGGACTGTCAGTAAATAGCTATTGTAGAATACTTACGACTAATCAACAATTTCCATGTCATTTGTTGGATTTGGACAGTTAGAATAATCCATGACAAGGTTTATTTTCAAGAATTTTGGGATAAACTTTGTCAGCACACGTCACTACACAGCCAAGTTTGTCACCCCTGTAGAATTTTGATGCTTTGCTTACAACTAAATAATTATTATTAATACCGTAAAAGCTCTATTTAGTCCCCCATCTCTATTAAGCACCCCCCCCCCTATCTAGTAAGCCCCCCCTTTGGAAGTCAGATTTTGTAATAAGCCCCCCTCTCTATTAAGCCCCCCTCCTTTCATAAGGCTGATGTAAATGACTTTTCAGCAATATTTTCTGGCGTTTCAGTCACTTTGTATTGAAACGTGGTCTTATATTCCCAGAACTATCGTTGAGTTAGGGTATAAATGACGTTTCCTTTGTAAGACGGTCATACATAACCCATTTCTTGTTCTGTTTTAGTTAGTGGTGTAATAGTAAAGTTTGAAAAATTAATGTGAATTTTCTTGAAAATTTATGATTTGAAATAAGCGCCCCCCCCCCCCCTCTCTATTAAGCCCCCCTCTCTAATAATACCCCCTTCTTGAGGCCTGAAATTAAATAAGCCCCCCGAGGACTTAATAGAGCTTTTACGGTAATAGTGTTCAGCTAAATGAAAGGTACATGTGACCCAGTCTTGTGAAATTAAATGCTACCAAGAGCTTCCTCAGGCAATGCAGAAGCAGGTTTGAAGTACTTGTACAACTCGCAAAAAGATGATATTGTCCCAAGTACTCCAATAGATCCAATGGACAGCTTTCCTGACCACAGAATTCCTGAAGGTGCCCAGTTGATTGCCATCCCTAAATCAGCAGTAAATCCAAGGACCGAGATCATAAGCCGTCTCTGCAGATATCTTATTTGATTACGCCTGATCAAAGGAGAACTGTCAGATTCTCTGTTGCTTTGTGGAATGCTATTATCGGCTGATTGTGTCCTGAACAAAAGAACATACATGTAATTATTATTATTATTTTTTAATGCTATTCCCATGGGAGCATAATTATACATACATGTATATGCTTTAGATGCACAATCCACATGCATCAATTTTTTCTGATTCATTTGAAAATCTTTCCCAATAATATTAATTTTGTTATTTAAAAGTGAACTGATCAGTAAGAATCCCTACACTGCTAAGTTTACAACATAAAAATATGTAACTTAGCACCTCAACAGACTAGACAAATAATAATAAAATTATTATAATAATAATTATTACAATAACTATTTAACTATTTAGTTGTTGATCATAAAACGTTGTTGATAACAAAATGTTAAAAATATTAGTTATTAGTTATATAACAGTTTTCCTTTTCAAACGGAAAACTATTTTTCCTAGTCTCAGTGAGACGGTAGTCGACAGCTACACCATTATCAATGTTTGTTGCCAGTGGTTTCTGGTTCTTTCACTCACCCTGCGCAGAGATTGCTAGTTCCAAGCTCTCACATAAAAATATTAGTTATCCATAATTTTGGCCACGCTCTATCGAGCACTACTAGTTGTCGGGTCATTTTAGTTGTCAAATACACATAGTTATTGACAACTATCTCTCTAGTCTGTCAAAGCCCCAAAGTCTAAAAAAAAAATGAGCAAAACTCCTAACCTGGATATCGGCTTGTTCTTCTCTTGTTGATGAAGCTTTTTAAGAAGCCACAAGTCTCTTATAATGCAAGCTATAAGTGATCCTATCCAGCAATAAAGAGACAAGTCCCACAGTTTTTTCAGATTTGCCGTGAAGCAATTTCTTGTCCCTTGCCCAAGCAATGTGCTCAAGAGGATAGAAAGTCAAACCACAGAAGATGTCAACAAGATTTGTCCAACGAACAATCTGATCACTTTCCTGCAAGGAAGACAAACTAAATCCTTCAAACCGAGTACAGTAATAAAATACACACTGACTGACCGTCCGGCTGACCATATGAGTCATTCATCCATCATGCATCTGTCAAACTTTAGGCAGACTACAGTCATTCTTTCAAATTGGAGGGCGATACATTTTTTATAACACTAAAAAAGTCCCTGCCAAAATCTTTCTACCCCAAAAAATCTGCCATAAAATTTATAACGCCCCCCCCCCCCCCCCCCCCCAAAAAAAAAACCAGTCTGCAAATCAAACTTCGCACCTACGTACCCATCACTATACCTGCGTACCAACCCCGCCGACCTCCCCCTGTGATCCCGGGGAGCCTGAGATACTCAACAATTTTCATCACGCCAAGAGTACTCACTGGTAGTGCAGCGATCGTGATTTTAAAATACAGACATTGATGAAATTTTAATCTTCAAACCGATGTTTTGTTTCTCACTTTTTCAAAACATTGGATTGGCCGGGCACGACAATTTGTAAATGAAACAATATTTTGACATTGCCTTACGAGTTCATGAGTTCCCCTTGACTCCTTTTCGTAAATGTAAAATAAATGTTGTTGTATTTATTGTTATTTCCTACCTCTTTTCCAGTTTCCATAATTGCGTGCATACGACAACATGGCAGCATCATCGAACAATCGAAGAACCGTGCGACACTCGCTCATGGCTTCCGCAAAAATTCGAAATTTCCCAGCACTGGACTCGTACGAGAACTTCTGTAACCCTCCACTTGCTAGATAACTGGCATATTGAAGGATTCGCATGAATTTCTCTCTTCCTCTGTACGTTTCCAACACACTCGCAAATTCTGCTAATTCTGCCATGTTGTTCAACTGAACTTTGACCGAGACTACTGCTGGAGTCACTGGACCGAGGCAAATTTCTTCCAGGCGTACTTCACTTGGTAAGACCTGGAAACGAATTTGGCGCCGGAGGGGGCGTGAGGGGGCGTGGCAAGGGGGTTTGGCCGGGCGTCGTTGAACAAAAAAGATGGAAATTTATTTTGTTTTCCAAGAAAATAGAAAAGAGTTGAAGTGCACTATTGGATGAATCGAAAAAAATCTGTCAAATTTATGTTCCGTGTCGTTCTAGATGCTTGCGGGCCTGTCTACGTGAAAGAACATCCGCCTTTTCTCTCAGGACCGTCGAGCGTTTATCCCTGCATGTGCGTAAAAAGCCCAAAATTGCGGTATGGACGAGAAGGGGTTGGGGCGAGACGAGAAAAGACGTTTTCTCTTCTCGCGCTCCTAGACTACGAGTAGTCCCTCATTTTTCTCAGATCGAGCGGGTGAGCGCGCGCGAAGCGCGTGGAAATATATTCGCGCGCGCTCACCCGCTCGATCTGAGAAAAATGAGGGACTACTCGTAGTCTATCGCGCTCCGCGCTCACTGAGCTCGCCGCGCTCCGGATTATTTCGAGAGAGAAACAGACTGCAAGCAGTCTACTCTAGATCCTTTCGATAGATTTATAGTGAAGAGCGCCCTACCGTTGCCATTCGACAAAGTTTTTGATTTATTTTTGACAACTTTTCTGAGATGGCTTTCGTTTCAACTGGCCAATCAAAATGCAAGAAGAGTCCAAGAACTACGAGAGGCGGATATGGGTCAAGCTCCACGCCGTTCGCGTTCTGACAATTGACATCTCCGTCTCCAACAGTTCTTGCAATTTGATTTGCTAGTTTAAATGGAAGCCATAAGAACGTTTTCAAAAATATGTCAAAAAGTTGTCAAAAATTAATCAAAAACTTTGTCGAGTGGCAACGATAGGGCGCTTTTCACTGTAATTTTTTAATAGAAACAAAATGATCAAAAAGTTGATTCTCTTTATAACCAATTTTGACGTCATGCGCATCTCATTTTCGTCCACAGCTTTACACGGCTATGCCAAAGACGCCGGAGAGTATAAAGTATTGTGAGCCACTTTAAATGGATAAAAAGACCTCGTCAGCTCTCAGCGAGTTTTTCAGTTTAGTTTGTAACAGATTATCTGAAGATAACCACTTTTACTCTGGTAAAGAAAAAACCTCTAATGTTTTACGAGGCGGCCATTTTGAAACTGTTATGACGTCATCAAGTTGAATGCAAATTATTTGTGTCCCAAAAGATAATTTATCAGAATCCGTTCTTTACCATCGACGTTTTAAGAGAAGATTTCCACAATTATCAGACAAAATCGAATTTCCGCGGCAAAGCTTAAAAACTCAAATTCGCTATCCTTTTGCATATAGGTAGTCCTTAGTGAGAACACAAACGCTATGTAGTTTTTTTTCTTGAAATCTTTTTGTATTTCCGAGAAAAACGAAATTTTCGATTTCGCCTCCAGACTCGATTCAGCGAGTCCAAACTGGGTTGAAAATCGACCATTTTCACTCGGCGCTCCTGACGAAACTATCCACCCTATAGAAAATGTAATACTACCAACGTATTGCATGACTTTTCATTGTCTAGAGAACACAATTTCAGAAGTATAGGATTTTTCTAATTATTGAACGGTATACAAAACCAGAGTATCCTCCAATGTTATGATAGTCAGTTGGTCAAAAGAATTGCCATTTTAACCATGTGCCATATCTCAGAATCCCATAAAATTAAGGATTTAAACTGTGGAAAGAAAGATCTTCCAATATATATAAAGTTTAGTTTGGGCAAATGATTTCCCACTTCTCAAAAAATTCTTCAAAATAGTACACAGAAGGCGTGAAATCACGCCAATTGTCGAATGCGTGACCAAACGTAAAACTACCGTACGTGTGAATAAAATTACTTCAATTCGAAATACCAGCATTACCTAAGTATAAACAACGTACATATGCTCACCTTTGCTCGATTATGATATCCTGACCGTTGTAGAATGTTCTTTTCTTGACAATTTTCCAATATACGACACG